TGTGTGTGTGTGTGTGTGTGTGTGTGTGTGTGTGTGTGTGTGTGTGTGTGTGTGTGTGTGTGTGTGTGTGTTTTAACATTCACATAGTGACAAGTTTTGTGTTTAGGATTCAGAACAGCCAAACACTGAGCAGGTTTAAGTGTTTTATTAAAAAACAGGAAGCTGGTGGGATGTCGGGGTCTCAGGCTGGTGCATACTGAGGAAGAGAACAAAGATGAGTGACTGTTCACTGCACAGGACTTGCTGTGGCTGTAGATATTGATTACTAACCTTCTGAAGCTGGTTAGCGTTGAGACACACTGTATTTACCACTACAKAGATGTTGGATTGTTTTTAAATTATTTCTGGCGATAAATTAATGTCAATATGAGTTTTTCTACAGTGTTTTTATCAGTGAGAGTTTGGGACCATTTCGATCGTTTATTTTAAACTGTTAAATCTCAAACTACGTGATCGGCCACGCTGCTMTTAGCTGATAAGACAAAGGAGCAGCTGTTAACTCAACGTGGCCTGTTGTTTATCACTGTCGTCATGTAAATACCCCTTTCTATTTGAAGAGGAGTAGCACTTATACTGTCCAATAAATCAGTTCCATACATGGTTTAATTTACATTATTATTATTTATAGAATTTTTTAGGTATTTCGGTATTATATGTTACAGGCTCTACTACACAACAAATTACACATTTCACTTAAGAAAAGTACATTTTTCATTCTAATTACATCATGTAAGAAAAGGAAATCAGATAGTGGCATTACAAGCATTTTTAAATAATCCTATATTTAATTGTAGAGCTCATTTTTGGATGTCTAATTTTAATTTTCTAATGTAAAAACACTTAGGATGCTCTCTAGTTGCAGAACTACCTCTGCACATCAAAATTGAAAGTTATTAGTTTGAAAAGATAAATAAAAATATACATATTTATTTCTGTATTATCCTAACTATATAACTTTATAAATACAATTTTTGTGTGAGAAAAACATGTTTGAAACATTTGTGAATGCTTACAGTGTGTAAAGTTGTAATCTATCTCTGCGTACAGGAAGTGGCAGAAATTCTGCCGAGTCAGCAAACATCAGCAGTGAGGAACAACCTGAAGTTCAAGGGACATCTTTCAACCTCCAACGCAGCAGCTGATAACGGTACAGATCCACAAATAATCCTACTTAAATAAAAAAAATCACGGTTATAAAAATAATTCTGTGTAGTTGCACATTAATTAATTTTATTTCTGATTGTATAGAATAATGAAAGCTCACAGACACACACCCAGCACATGAACGTGAATCAGAGGACCAGCCTGGACAAGAAATTCTAGAACCACCTCCACTGAGCAGTGCACCCAGATAAAGACACCGCTGTGGCCCAGAAACGGTCCAGATTCCTGTTGTAGAGGAAAAACCTTACGGCTGTGTGTGATTCTGGGTCGGATTCAGAGAGCTGACAGTCACCTGTTGTTCATAATTACATTTGTTCTGAGTTGTTAGTCTAGAGTTCTAATAAAACTTGACCCTGTGCTAAACCAAAGACAATCTGTGTGAAATGATTTGMATTTTCAGATATCAATTAAAATAAAATAACTCCACTTAGGAAACCTTTGTTTTTACCAAGTTTAATAAATGAAACACATCAGTAATTAACCAGCTCTTTAACAACAGGTGTTCCATTACACAGTCTCATTCCAGGTGAGGGAACTGGAACCCAGTATATCCACCGACTGCAGGAGAAGCTTTGAGATAACGTGTCAAAGCTGGAGAGCTGTGGAACACATCCCACATCTTTTCTTAGGATTTCTTCTTGCACTTCTGGTATTTCTGTGCAACACAGGCATTCTACAACCAATGGCATTGCCTGGTAATTTGTGCAGCGACACCTGAAAAATAAACAAGTGTGAGTTGATTCTATGTATYTTAATATATTTGTGACATTTCAGTTTTCATAATAGCTTCAGAAAATAACCTACGTCAAACGGGTAATTCATGGTGTTTCTGCAGAATCTATATGCACCCATGAGATCAGACTTAGTCAACATGGAGAAATATCCACATAAATTCTATTGACATTTATGGTAATAAATTGTCACTGTGTCATATAAATAAATGTAATGATTAATAATAAAATAATTCATAATAATGAATCAATGAAAAKATCAATCCTTCACCGTCGGACCCATCGTCCTCAGAAACGTCTGAGTCACCYTCACTTCCTGAACAATATGGTTCATATAAACAGGGCTGCAGTCCGTCATTAGAACCAGCTGCTTCTTGTTCATCACTTTAACTAGCTTCTTCTGCAAAGACTGAAGACAAATCACTCAAATCTTCACTTACGGGGGGNGGGGCCCTCGGGGCAGTCACCCCCAAACTGGAGCAGTGGCTAAAACAGATCCCAGGAACAATATCAGACATCTCAGTCCAGAAATGTGCAGTTCTAGGCACAGCTAAGATACTGCYCAGAACCCTCAAGCTCCCAGTCCTCTGGTAGAGGACCCGAGCTCAGAGGATGAAAGAAACCACCCGCGGAGGGTGAGAAGGGAATTTTTTATTTTTTTTATATACATAAATACATGTATACAGTGCATAAATAAAACTTAAATAATTTTAAAGTAAAACACTGAGTCAGGTGTATTAGAGCAAAAAAACATAAAGCATGCAGGACAGCGGCCCACCAGGACCGCAATTAGATTATTTTCTGATTATTCACATTTCGCTGCTTCCTTATTTTTCTGTAGATCAGCTCATATGGTTCTGAATATTTGCCATCCATGTTTGTCAGTGAAATGTCTAACTGTTTTCTTTTCTTCAGGCTCACTGCCTTTGTTATGGTAACTTTTTATAAAGCTCGGGCTTTCATCTACATTGATCCGAGGATCATCGAGGAGTCTAGGAAGTGGCTGGAATSCCAACAGCTTAAAAATGGTTGTTTCAAAATGTCAGGAAAACCCTTCAATAACAAAATAAGGGTAAGGTGAAAACTTACAGCTTGTACAGTAATGTAAACACCGAGATGTTGTTTGTAATCACAAAAAGTCCATGAATAATGGTCAATACACTGATTATAAAACCTTTTGTTCAATAAAGGGTGGGGTGTCTGATGAATTGACCCATACTGCCTACATTACTGCTGCTCTATTGGAGATGGACATATCTCCAGATGTAAGTAAACATAAACAAGCACTGAAGCATCTCTGTTAATTTTCCATTAAACATTTTGTCCTGTATCCTATAATACAGACATGAAACAAAACAGGGTAAATGAATTCTACTTAGTAAATAGCACCTTTCTATCCAACCAGTAAGATTTTGGCAAAACATTAGAAAATACATCCATCTTTTGAGCTCAAACATATTTCAGTACATTATCCAAAGGTTTAATGAGTCATAATAAATCTAAACTTTGTGTCTAAACTGGTTAACATCTTGCATTTTTCCACTGCTGTGTGACTCCACTCAGTTTTTGTTGGATTGGTTGTACTCGGGTGTAGGTGATTTGCCACAGCGACTGAGTCCCCACTCTGTGGGCAGCATCATTACTGCAAAGTACGTGTTAATGCTGTTGAAAAGTGGGTGGTATAATTAACATGGAATGAAGAAAATAATCAGTGCACTTTCTTCACATTTTGTGCTTTTTTCTCATATTTAATGGTAAATGTTAAATATATATGTTAAATCTATATCTAAGTATTATATCCAAATGTATACATAAAATCTAGTTTTGCCTCATATATTTATATACAAATAATATATTTATTTCTAAATCTTAAATTTATATCTAAATATTATATCTAAATCTAAATACTGTATATGTATATTATCTAAATCTTAAATTTAAATAAATATACTGTATATACAGCGGGTACAATAAGTATTGAACACATCACCATTTTTCACAGTAAATATATTACTAGAGGTGCTAATGACATAAATTTTCACCAGATGTCAATAACAACCCAAGTGATCCATACATACAAAGAAATCAAACCATAAATGTCCAGAAATGAAGTTATTTGTAATAATGTGGAATGGCACAGGGAAAAAGTATTGAACACATGAAGAAAGGGAGGTGTAAAAAGGCATGGAAAGCCAAGACACCAGCTGAACTCTCTCAGTAATTAGAAAGCAAGCCTGCCCCTTGTCAGTGCAAGTTAATATCAGCTGGTTCAGTCCCAAATGATGGCCAGGTTTCACACAAGAACCATCTGATGATGGGTAAAAGTAAAGAGCTCTCTCAAGACCTTCACAACCTTATTGTTGCAAAGCATAATGATGGCATCGGTTACAGAACAATGTCTAAACTTCTGAAGGTTCCAGTGAGCACTGTTGGGGCCATAATTCAGAAGTGGAAAGAACGTTATTTCACCATAAACCGACCACGACCAGGTGCTCCTCYCAAGATTTCTGACAGAGGAGTGAAAAGAATTTATCAGAAGAGTTGTCCAAGAGCCAAGGACCACTTGTGGAGAGCTTCAGAAAGACCTGGAATTAGCAGGTACGATTGTTTCAAAGAAAACAATAAGTAATGCACTGAACCACCATGGCCTGTATGCACGCTCACCACGCAAGACTCCACTGCTGAAGAAACAGCATGTTGAAGCTCCTTTAAAGTTTGCTGCACAACATTTAGACAAGCCTGTGAAATACTGGGAGAATATAGTCTGGTCAGATGAGACCAACATTGAACTGTTTGGATGCCATAATACACATCATGTTTGGAGGTCAAATGGCACTGCACATCAGCCCAAAAACACCATACCAACAGTGAAGTTTGGAGGTGGGAACATCATAGCGTGGGGCTGTTTTTCAGCATATGGTGCTGGCAAAATTCAAATAATTGAAGGAAGGATGAGTGGAAAAATGTACAGAGACATTCTTGATAAAAATCTGCTTCCATCTACCAGGATGATGAAGATGAAACGTGGCTGGACATTTCAGCAAGACAATGACCCCCAAATACAAAGCCAAGGAAACTCTCAGTTGGTTTCAGAGAAAGAAACTAAAGCTGCTGGAATGGCCCAGCCAATCACCTGACCTGAATCCAACAGAAAATCTATGGAAAGAACTAAAGATCAGAGTTCATAGAAGAGGTCCACAAAATCAAGATTTGAAGACTGTTTGTGTGGAAGAATGGGCCAAAATCACACCTGAGTAATGCATGCCACTAGTTTCTCCATACAGGAGGCGTCTTGAAGCTGTCATTGACAACAAAGGCTTTTGTACAAAGTATTAGATAAATTTCAGGAAGTGTGTTCAATAATTTTCCCTGTGCCATTCCACATTATTACAAATAACTTAATTTCTGGACATGTATGGTTTGCCTTCTTTGTATGTATGGATCATTTGGGTTGTTATTGACATCTGGCGAAAATTTCATGTCATCAGCACCTCAAGTAATATATTTACTAAGAAAAATGGTGACGTGCTCAATACTTATTTTACCCGCTGTAAATCTTAATTATAAAGCCTATATCTAAATGTACTTATTACATCTAATCTAAATTTTTAATCTAAATATCTAAATCTTTAATCCGTCTGTCCGTTTTCTGCCACTTATCCAGGATCGGGTCGCGGGGGCAGCAGCCTAAGCAGAGTGACCCAGACTTCCCTCTCCCCAGCCACTTGGAGCACCTCATCTGGGGGAATCCCAAGGTGTTCCCAGGCCAGCTGAGAAACATAGTCCCTCCAGCGTGTCCTGGGCCTCCTCTCAGTGGGACATGCCCAGAACGTCTTACCAGGAAGGTGTCCAGGAGGCATCCTAACAAGATGCCCGAGTCACCTCAACTGGCTCCTCTGGAGGAGCAGCGGCTCTACTCTGAATCCCTCCCAGATGACTGAGCTTCTCACCCTATCTCTAAGGGAGAGCCCAGACACCCTGTGAAGGAAACTCATTTCAGCCGCTTGTATCCGCGATCTCGTTATTTCGGTCACTACCCAAAGCTCGTGACCATAGATGAATGTAGGAACGTAGACCGACCGGTAAACTGAGAGCTTCACCTTCTGGCTCAGCTCTCTCTTCACCACGACAGACTGGTACAACACCCACATCACTGCAGACACTGCACCAATCCACCTGTTCCAGCTCCATTCTTCCCTCACTTGTGAAAAAGACCCCGAGATACTTAAACTCCTCCACTTGGGGCAGGACCTCCTCCCTGACCTGGAGGCGGCACGCTACCAGTTTCCGGCTCAAGACCATGATCTCGGATTTGGAGGCACTGATCCTCATCGCTTCACACTTGGCTGCCAACTGCTCCAGTGAGAGCTGGAGATCATCATCTGATGAATCCAAAAGTACCACATCATCTACAAAATGCAGAGATGTGATCCTAAGGTCACCAAAAAGGATCCCCTCAACACCTTGGCTACACCTAGAAATACTGTCCATAAAAGTTATAAACAGAATCGGTGACAAAGGACAACCTTGGCGGAGTCCCAACTCTCACCAAAAACAAGTTTGACTTACTACCGGCAATGCGGACCAAGCTCTGGCACCGGTCGTACAGGGACCTAACAACCCGTATCAGTGGGCCTTGTACCCCATACTCCCGGAGCACCCCCACAGGAGTCCTCAAGGGACACGGTCTAACGCCTTCTCCAAGTCCAGCCCCACTCTGAAGCCAGGCCTGGAAGTGGGGCTCATTGGCGAGCGCCTGGTGGCCGGGCTTTCACCCATGGAGCCCTGTCGGGCACAGCCCGAAGAGGAGACGTAGGTCTCCCTTCCCATGGGTTCACCATGTGTTGGAGGGGCAGTAGGGGTCAGGTGCATTGTGTGTTGGGCAGTGGTCGAAGGCGGGGACCTTGGCGGTCCGATCCTCGGCTACAGATGCTGGCTCTAGGGACGTGGAATGTCACCTCTCTGGTGGGGAAGGAGCTTGAGCTGGTGTGTGAGGTTGAGAGCTTCTGACTAGATATAGTTGGACTCACCTCGACACACTGCTCTGGCTCTGGAACTCTGGAACTGTTATGCTCTGGTCTCCTCCAGAGGGGTTGGACACTCTTCCATTCTGGAGTTACCCATGCTGAGAGGCGCCAAGCAGGAGTGGGCATACTTATTGCTCCCCATCTCGGTGCCTGTTCATTGGGGTTCACCTCGGTGAATGAGAAGGTAGCCTCCCTCCGCCTACAGGTGGGGGGACGGGACCTGACTGTTGTTTGTGCCTAGCGCCTAACAGCAGTTCAGATTTCCCACCGTTTCTGGAGTCCTTGGATGGGGTGCTGGAGAGAGCTCCTAACATGAACTCCCTCGCTCTGCTGGGGGACTTCAATACTCATGTGGGTAATGACAGTGAGACCTGGAGAGGCGTGGTAGGGAGGAACGTCCCCCCACGATCTGAAGCTGAGCGCTGTTTTGTTATTGGACTTATGTGCTCGTCATGGTTTGTCCATCACGAACACCATGTTCAAGCATACGGGTGTCCATATGTGCTCTTGGCACCAGGACGCCCTAGGCCGCAGTTCGGTGATCGACGTTGCTGTCATTTCATCTAATCTGCGGCTGCATGTTTTGGACACTCGTGTGAAGAGAGGGGCGGAGCTGTCAACTGACCACTACCTGGTGGTGAGTTGGCTTCGTTGGTGGAGGAGGATGACGGTCAGACCTGGCAGACCAAAATGCATAATGAGGGTCTGCTGGGAACATCTGTCAGAGTCTCCCATCAGGCGGAGCTTCAACTCACACCTCTGGGGGAACTTCGAACACGTTCCGGGGGAGGTGGGGGACATTGAGTCCAAGTGGGCCATGTTCCGTGCCTCCATTGTCAAGGTGGCTTACCTGAGCTGTGGCCATAAGGTTGTCGTGCCTGTCGAGGCGGCAACCCTCGAACCCGCTGGTGGACACCGGCGGTGAGGGATGCTGTCATGCTGAAGAAGGAGTCTATTGGACTCCGGAAGCAGCCGATAGGTATCGGCAGTCCAAGCGGATTGCGGCTCAGGTGGTTGCTAAGGCAAAAACTCGGGCATGGTAGGAGTTCGGAGATGCCATAGAAAACAACTTCCGTACAGATTCAAAGCGAATCTGGTCCACCATCCGGCGTCTCGGGGAGGGGGATAGCGGTTTGCCACCAACACTATTTATGGTGGGGATGGTGCTCTGCTGACCTCAACTCGGGACGTTGTGGGTTGGTGGACGGAATACTTTGAGGACCTCCTCAATCCTACCA